GCTCTTTAAAGGGCCCAAGCACGAACTTATTGGACTCTCTCCCTCTAAGCTTGGAGGGGAGGCAGCTTGAGGGGCATCAGAGACATACAGGGAAGACCTGAGCTATTTGGCACTGGAGTGAGGGCTGGAGAGGGGGCTTTCTCCAGGACAAACGTGCTGTCAGAGGCCTTTGTTCCTTTGGTGAGCCCTTCCCTGGGTCGGCAGACAGCTGCCATATCTGGGACTCCAGCAACCTGGCTCACACTGGTAGCCCCGCCCTGGTGACACCCTGAGGCCCCGCCCCACCCCACCCAACTGTCAGACCCACCCGAGCTGTTGCCACTTGCTTAGCTATAGGATTGGCCTGTTTTGGATCCTGCTTCAGATTTTTCCTAAATTCTCTCAAACGAGCAGCATCTGGTCTCAGCTAGCCCCATACCTCGTGTTAAGTAATACACAGAAACAAACACAGAGAGGCAGCCAAAATGAGGAGACAAAGAAACAGGTCCCAAATGAAAGAACAGAACAAAACCCCAAGAAAAGAACTAAGCCAAATGGAGATGAGCAACCTAACAGATGCTGAGTTCAAAATACTGCTTATAAGGATGCTCAATGAACTCAGTGAGGGCCTCAAAAGCATAAAAAAGGACCAGTCAGAAATTATGGATGCACAGTCAGAATTGAAGGAGGCATTAACTGAAATAAAGAATAATTTACACAGATTCAATAGTAGCGTACGTAAATCCAAGAAGCAAACCATCAATTTGGAATATAAGGAAGCAAAAAACGCCCAATCAGAACAGCAAAAAGAAAAAAGAATCCAAAAATATGAGGATAGTGTAAGGAGCCTCTGGGACAACTTCAAGCGTGCCAACATTCGCATCTTGGGGGTGCCGGAAGAAGAGAGAGAACAAGAAATCGAAAACCTGTTTGAAACAATAATGGCAGAAAACTTCCCTAACTTGGTGAAGGAAACAGACATACAAGTCCAGGAAGCACAGAGAGTTCCAAACAAGATGAACCCCAAGAGGCCCACACTAAGACACATCATCATCAAAATGCAAAAGGTTCAAGACAAAGAGAGAATCTTAAAAGCAGCAAGAGAAAGGCAGCTAGTTACCTACAAGGGAGTTCCCATAAGGCTGTCAGCTGATTTCTTAAAAGAAACTTTGCAGGCCAGAAGGGAGTGGCAAGAAATATTCAGAATAATGAAAAGCAAGAACCTACAACCAAGATTACTCTATCCTGCAAAGCTGTCATTTAGAATCGATGGCCATATAAAGACTTTCCCAGACAAGAAAAAGTTAAAGAAGTTCATCACCACCAAACCGTTATTATATGAAATGATGAAGGGTCTTTTTGAAGAAAAAGATAAAATATATGAACAAACAAAATGGCAATGAATACATATCTATCAACAATGGACTCTACAAACAAAATGAACAGGTAGAACAGAAACAATCTCATAGATACAGAGAACATTTTGTTGGTTGCCAGATGGGAGGGGGGTTGGGGGAATGGGTGAAAAAGGTGAAGAGATTAAGAAGTACAAATTCATTGCTAGACTGACAAACCTCAAAGGGAAAGGGGTGGTGGGGTGGTGGGAAGAAATAAACCAAAGAACTTATATGCATAACCAATGGACACAGACAATAGTGTGGAAAAAGGCGGGAGGGGGGCAGGAGGGGGTCAATGGAGGAAAAATGTGGAACATCTGTAATACATTCAACAATAAAGATTCAAAAAATAAATAAAATTAAATTTAAAAAAAATGAAGTACCGATACATGTCACAACACAGAAGGACCTTGAAAACATTACACTATGTGAGACACAAAGGCCTCATATGATTCCATTTATATGAAATGTCCAGAACAGGCAAATTCATAGAGACAGAGTAGATTAGTAATTGCCAGGAGCTGGAAAGAGGGATGAATGGGAAATGACTGCAATAGGTACCAGGTTTCTTTTGGGTATGATGAAAATGTTCTGGAGTGATGTGATAGCTGCACAACTTTGTGAAAATACGAAAAACCAGTGACCTGTACACTTTGAAAGGATGAATTTATGGTATGTAAATACCATAAAAAATAAAAAGCTCTTCTTCCCTTGCTGCATATTTGACATTTTTGGTAGCATCTTTCCAAAACTAAACTCTATGCATTCACATTAAAATTCAATAGTACTCTCCCAACCACCTCCTTTTTTCTTCAGTTTCCTAATTTATATGTCATTTCTCAGGCTGAAGATTTTCAGATATCTCTTATTTTCTCTCAATTTCAACATCAGTCACCCATGACAGCATTTTCTGAAACTAACTGGGATTAAGTACTTTGTTCTTCAGTCTTTCTCCCTTAAATCTATGCTCCACCCTTCAACCAGAGTGATCTTCCTGAAATAATGATCAAGTTACTCTCTTCCTAAGCTCTTCAAAAGCTTCCCACTGTCATAAAGTCCAGATTCCTTAACTGGATATAAGGTGCCCTCTAGGGTCCCTTTTCTCTCACCACTCCTTATACCAACTTCTTTCAGTTCCTGGACCAGGCCAAACTCTTTCTCCTCTTGCCTCTGGACTTCGCATAGGCTTCTCTTATTCATTCCTTCAACAAATATGTATTAAGTGCCCACTATGCCTGGCATTGTAATTGCTGCTTGTGGTCTTGCCCTCAAGGTACTTACAGTCTAATGGAAGAAACAATACAAACAATTACAAAGTGTGAAAAGTGAAATGAGGGAAGAAGCATGTTGTATTATAGAACATTTAGGGTTAGGGGTCGTGGAATACCACGAAGTGTTTTAAATAGGTTGTTCTGGTAAGATCTCAGGTGGTGACATACTCTGAAACCTGAAGATTAAGGAACCAGCCATGTGAAAAGTAGGTAAGAGTAAGGGGGTGAGTGACAAGAGACATTCCTGGAGAGCACAGACCAAGATATCTGTTTTTCTTAGGTTTTTTTTTTTGAGCTTTAAACCGCACTTTAATTTCCAATTAACTGTAACTTACTGGAGATTTTTGTAGATAATGGTTAGGAGTTTGGATTTTATTCAAAGTTTTAAGTGTAACGGAATTCACTGAAGAATTTCAAATAAGAAAGTGTCACTTTTTGCTGCTAAACAGAGAAGGGACTAGAGGGGTACAAGATGGGAAACAGGGACACATGGCCTGAAAATATAGTAGTGGTTTCGGTGAGAAATATGGATGATCTGGACAAGGGTTTGATAGTGAAGGAGGAAAAAATTGATAGACTAGATGCAGAATTGACCTGACTTACAAAGAAGTCATCAGTTGAAAATGAGAAAGAGCCCTGGCCAGTTTGGCCCAGCAGTTAGAACGTTGGTCCGCAAACCAGAGTCCTGGGTTCAGTTCCTGCTAAGGGCACATACTTCGGTTGCAGTTTGTCCCTGGCCCTGGTTGGGGCATGCAGGTGGCAACCAGTTGATGTGTCTCTCTCATCTCTCACATAGATGTTTCCTTCTCTCTCTCTTCCTCCCACTCTGTCTAAAGATGAATGCAAAAAAAGAAAATGAGAAAGAGATGAGAGTATGTAGAAAGTTTAGGGAATTGTCATTAGAAAAAAGAAAGTAGGCTTACCACAGAAACAGGATAAGAAGGATCTCAGGCCCATGCTGAGTGAATATTCAAGAGGTTGACCATTTTCATTTCATAGTGTTATCAATTTGTCCAGGAGTTTTTCCAGCAAAGTTCAGCCATACAGATGCAGGTGCAAAGAGGGCAAAAAAAGGGTTCATCCAGAGTATGGGTTTTGCCAGAAAAATAAAAGGCAGGGAGGGACCAGAATTAGAGCTTTTTTTTTCCCGTTTTTTAAAAATCTTTACCTGAGGATATTGTTCCATTTAAATAGAGTGGGAGGGAGGGTGAGAGGAAGAGGGAGAGACATGAGAGAGACACATAGACTGGTTGACTCCCGCAGGACCCCAACTAGGGCTGGGGGAGAAACCGCAGCAGAGACATGTGCCCTTGATCGGAATCCAACCCAGGACTCACTGGTCCACGGGCGACACTCTAACTGCTGAGCCAAACTGGCCAGGGAGAGATAGTGTATTTTCAAGGGAGAGAACATAATGATAAACTATGATATGCACTCTATTAGATAAGGGGGATACAGATGGGCAGAAAATTGAAGGATCAATGAACTGGAGGTACAGATGAAGTTCAAGAATTGTCTCTTTGGGGTACGCAAGCGAGTTACAAAGGCAGGAGCTTGTAGTCACATAGAAGGTAATAATTTGTTTCTTCTACTTGGCAAACATCTTGCTCTCCAATCATATCCATCCTGTACTTTCCTGTTGTATTCCAATGACTCCCCATTACTACTACCTGAGTTTGTCACTATCTCACCCAATCATAAAGGCCCATCTCAAACTATTCCCATTTTGAAGCATTTGTTTTCCCCACTGGGATCTCTCCTGGTGACAGACCTCACCCAGGGTGTACTGATAATATTCCCATTACCACATACATTAGTCATTCTTTTTCCTTTCTATACCTCTTTACTCAATTGGGAAAAAGCACTGTTATAAACAATCTCTGGATCCTGTGGCAGTCCCCATAACAGTACCAGGAACCGAGCAATCATTCAATAAATGCTAACAGGGGTCTCAGTCTCCTGGGCTTCCAAACCTCACCTGTTCTTTAAAGCAAAAATCCACCGAAATCAAACAAAAGCTCATAATCTCTGTTCACAAAGGTCGGAGACATCTCCATTTACCTCAAGGAGGGGCTCTAATTTCAATCCACTGTAACATTCAAAACACCATCATGCATACAACAGCCCTGGTAGGATGCGGGAATGTAGGGCCTGCGGGAGAATCCAAAACCTGGATGCCACCACCACTTGAGAAAAGCCACGTTTACTAGAAAACAAATACTTTTCCTCACAGCTTAATGCACAGCCAGAGAGACCTGGGACAGAAGCTAGACCAAACGGCCACATGAGAGGTGCCAAGAGAGTCAGCTGTCACAGGGTTGTACTTATGGCCTGACCTCAGCCTGGCACCTACCTTCCTTCTCTCCAGTTCCAGCTGCAGGGCCCGTATCAGTGGTCGTCCCCGGGCCTGCCGCCATGGTTAGCACGACTCCAGCTCCGTCCGAAACCCAAGAGTGGAGTGGAGCGTGAGTGGGGTCCGAGGACGGCCAGGACTCGGGCTCTGAAACCGACACAATGAAAGTAGACGCAACCGTTGCTACCCGAGTCTTTCGGAAGCGACGCTCGCGTGAAAGTCATGTGACGGACGCTGGGCGGGGCTACGCAGGGTTTGTTTTGATTCAGCTGTTGTAATGCAGGCACGTGGTCTCTGTTGTGGCTTTTTTTTTCTTCCCCAGACTTTACCCTTTCAAAGTAGTCCTTTCTTGGCCTCGTTTTCTAGTCTGGTCCTGTCTTTCTGACTTGGCGCTTTCCTCTACCCAATTATATTGGAGTTTTAGGAGATGTTTGCTTTTTTGTGGGGCTCGGAGCAGTGTAATGTGGCTCTGCGTTCGTTTACTCTGCTACCGCCCTTACCCGCCTTGGATACCAGGAGATCTCACGCGTCTCCTCCTTTCTCTTCCCACCTCTTTTGCCATTCAAGCAGCAACACGACTCCATTTGATTTTCGTGGCTGCCGGGGAGTAAGAACCTCGATTAGATGTCCTTTAATCGTGTTCCCCGTATCTCATTTCCCCACCCAGACAAACCAAATCGCTTAGGTTTTCAAAGGCACTAACCCCGGCAGCTGTCAGTCAGGCTTCTGGATTTGTATATCAAAATAAACAACCGGAAGCGTGATCAAGAGATCAACAACCCCCACCCTTCTCGGTTACTCTTAGTGAGGTCAGATCTTAACTGGAGATGGATCTAGGTCATTTGGGGACAAATCTTCCAGTGTTGTTGTTTATCCTCACCCCAGGAGATATATATATTTATCTTAGAGAGAGAGAGAGAGAGAGAGAGAGAGAGAGAGAGAGAGAGAGAGAGAGAGAGAAACATCCATCGGTTGATTGGTTGCCTCTGGTGGGCACCCAGGCCCGCAATGCAACCTGCAATATAGTTATGTGCCCTGACAGGAATCGAACCCGCAGCCTTTTGTTATTCGGGAGGACTCTCCAACCAACCGAGTCACCTGGCCAGGACACAGATCTTTCAGTTTAATTAACATATCTTTATTGGTCGCCTATTAATGACAGGAAAAAGTAGAAACATGTCTATTTGTATCTTTTATATATGAATAAAATTGGCTAGTTTATAATCTCATTGAGTATGTATACAAAAAACTGAAAAAACTAGGCTCTATTCACTGTACATAAAAAATGATTTTCAAGTGGCAACATTGGGGCTCTTACTATACCTCAATCTTATCCTGCCTCCCCTATAATTTCTAAAGTTAAAAAAAAACAAAAAACCAACAACAAAAAAAGAAACCCAACATAGAGGCAAGCATTGGCTTAAGTGACCAGAGGTCACCTAATTGTTTACTAGGCACATGATGTAAAACCTGGACACTTCCTTCAGCCAGCCGGGTTCCTTGCTCAACCTCTTCTAACACAGCCTCTCGGGAGCTTCCTTTTCCCCGGGCTCAGCCCCGCTCTTCCCAGCATTTCCAATTCCTCCAGGTCCTTTTCCTGGGACTGCGGCTCCACTCAGTCTCCCCCCACCGGGGTCCTTCCCACTCCTGCACTCCAGCCTCCTCCCCGCCTGCCACACCCGCCACCCCTCCCAGGCCGGGAACCGCTCGCGCGGCGCAGGCGCACCAGGCGCGGCCGGGAGGCCGAGGGCGTCCAAAGCAGCCTCGGCTTCCGCCTATTCCCGCCTTATCTGCGCGGGACTGGTCGGCGGCTGCACAGACCGCGCTGGGCAGGGGCCCCGCGGGCCGCGCGTCGCCATGGGCTCCGGCTGGAGCAGCGAGGAGGAGCGGCAGCCGCTGCTGGGGCCCGGGCTGGGGCCTGCGGCAGGGACTGCCTGGAGAAGCCGGGAGGCAGCGGCGGCGGTGCTGCCCGCGGCGGCCCCGGGTCCCGGGCGGGTGTACGGGCGCCGCTGGCTGGTGCTTCTGCTCTTCTCGCTGCTGGGGTTCGCGCAGGGCCTGGTCTGGAACACCTGGGGCCCCATCCAGAACTCGGCGCGCCAGGCCTACGGCTTCTCCAGCTGGGACATCGCGCTGCTTGTGCTGTGGGGGCCCATCGGCTTCCTGCCCTGCTTCGCGTTCATGTGGCTCATGGACAAGAGAGGTGAGGGGTTCCGGGGATCACTGGCTGGGGCTGTCAATCCTGGGGGAGCCTCCTCCCTCGGTTTCGGCTTTGAGGTTGTGTGAGGTGAGGTGACGGGAGTGTTGCTGGCATCCCGTTCCTGACCAGGAACCCTCTGTGCTCAAAGCAACAAATACGGGAAGGCTTCATTGCAGCTACTATGTTTTTATCAAGGCCCATTATGCAACAGCAGGGATTAAGTGTTCGCGTTTTTGCATATTGTGGACCCCAGAACATCCTCGTGCACGTGCAGTATATGTTTGTTACACCTCACAAAAATGACTGCTGCTTTGGCTTATTTGGGGATGTTGAGGGTGAAAGGTCAGAAAATAGGCGATGCCCAAGTATAAGGAAGCAGTGAGTTGGCTTTACTTAATAGATGACTCCAGCCCAGGAAGAGCTGCTAGGAAACTCGAATCTGACTCTTTGGTTTCTGGGAAAAGGTGCAAAGGGGCTTAAAAGTGTGTGAACGTGACTAGGTGGCTGTGTCAGTTGAGATTTAGAATTTTCAGATAAAATCTGCAGATGAATGAGACTCTTCACAGAAGAATATGTGGTCAGATATCTCACTTTACCACTTGCCAGTGTGATTCTCTGAGGAGGTAAAAGTCATAGGATTGAATGATAAGGCACTGAATTATACCACACAAGTATGGCCAAATGATTCATGATAGATGTTTTATAGCTGCTGAAAAAGAGAGAATGATTTTAGGCAGATAAGCATAGTGTCTAAAACAAGAAGAGAAATAATTTGATAGGCTCTACTCCAGTGTTCAGTTCTAAGCATTACTTTTAAGAAGGCTGTTGACAAACTGGTGGAGTACTTTAAAAGTTGTGTGGCAAGAATAATAAAGGATGTAAAAATCATAATGTGTAACATGAAGGGAGCTGGGTGAGGCAAGCTTCAAAAGGAAACTTGAGGCAGAGTATAAAATATGTGGAGATCAAGCCCGGGCTGGTGTGACTTAGTTGGTTGAACATTATTCCATGTACCAAAAGGTTGAAGGCTTGATTCCCTGTCAAAGCACATGCCCTGGTTGTGGGCTCCATACCCAGGAGGGGGTGTGCAGGAGGCAGCCCATCGATGTCTCTCACATCAGTGTTCTCTCTCACTCTCCCTTTCTCTCTCTCTAAAAATTATATATATATATATATATATATATATATATATATGTCAAGATCAAGTAGAAGAGGAATTAGACTTAATGTGTGTGGTTCTGGAAGGAAGAACCTTATAACAATGAAAGACACAGCTCTGCAAGGTGTGTCTTGATTGGTGTGGAACTTCCAGACAGAGCAAGGACTTATGCAGAGGATGTGTACTAGGTGCTGAGGTAGGGATTCTTGTACTGAATGCAGGTTTTCTTTGGGTATTTTTTGTTTGCTTTTAAACTGAATTGTAGACTTTATTTAGATTTCACTAGTTTTTCTGCTAATGGCTCCCCCACCCGCCTTATTCCAAGGATTCAATGGAGGGTCCCAAATTGTGTTTAGTTGTTATTTCTCCTTAACCTCCTCTAATCTGTGACAATTCCTCAGTCATTTCTTACAAGGTTGGCTAAATTTAGGAGAAAATGCTATTTTGTTGTCTCTTTTTGTTTATCTTTTTATCAGGAGCATTTTTCAATAGTATTTGCTAAATTTAGCCAATCTTGTTTTTATGGTAGAGAAATGTTCATTTTCACTCTTGTTATTGTAAGTCTATCTACATCTCCAGGTAAATTGGGGACTATCTATTTGCTTCATAAAATAAGTTACTTTAAGACTTGTTTCAGAAATCCTGTGACTATACGGGGAATTCAGTTTTATATTTTCCACTAGTTGAAGCAATAAAACTTAAATTTAAAAAATTCTCTCTTTTAGGAAGTGGTTTTCCTTTTCAGTACAAGTCTAATAAACTTTTATATGTTGACTGTCCTGCTGCACATGTTCTATCTGCATACATAGAAAGTGAGTTCCTTTTATCCTTGGGTTCTAAAATATTTTTCTCCCTAGAGTGTAGGTAGTTGTTTGACCTTCCTGTTGCCATGGTTCCCAGCCAGCTTAGCGTAGAAAGCTGCTTATCTTCCTGAGATCGGTTTTGTTCTCCATCACCCCTTTTCACTTTCCAGCAAGGAGATAAAAAGGACTCCCTAGAAGCCAAATGAAGAAAGGTTCTAGAAGAGATAGCACCTAAATGAGTGCTAAGCACTGGGGACATAGCCCTCACAGAGTCTCTGTACATTCTATTGAGAAGACTCAGGCATCAAACAACAATGAAATTAAATATTTAGTGTGTCAAATCGTGATGTGCTTTGGAGAAAAATAAAGCAAGGCAAGGGAGAAAGGGGATTTAATTGGGTGATACTCTCTATAAGAGAGTGTCACAGAAGACCTTACTGATAAAGTATTATGTTTGAGCAGAGACCTGAGGTTAAAAGGAAGCCTGACTTGTCGGTTCTGGATAAGACTGTTTTGGGAAAAGACAAAGGTCCTAAATTTGTTTGACGTATCTAAGAACAATGAGGCTTGTGTGGCTGGAGTTGAGCCATGAGGGAAACAACAGTAGGAGATGAGATCAGAGGTAGAGGGAGGCTGAATCATATTGGGCCTCGTAGGCCACTGTAAAGACATTGGCCATGGAGGAAGGAGGAGGGCTCTCTCCATTAGAGGAGTAAAATGATGACTCTGCTGTTGTCTTGAGAACAAGAGCCAGGGAAGAGAGACCCATTAGGCTAGTGGAATAACACCGTTGGGGCTAATGGTGACTTCCAACCGGGGTGATGCAGTGGTGAAAAGTGCTTAGATTCCAGATATATGTTGAAAGTAGACTCACCAGTATTTTTCAATGGATTGGAGGTGGGGTATAAAGAAAGAAAAGGAGCCTAAGATATTTCTCAACTTTATTTTTATTTTTATTTTTTTATCCTCACCTGAGGACATTTTTTGTTCAGATAGAGTGGGAGGGAGAGAGAGAGAGAGAAACATCGATGTGAAAGGG